ACACACACACACACACACACACACACACACACACACACACACACACACACACACACACAAACACACACACATACATACATGGCTTCCGAAAAGGACGATCGACGGTCGGCGCGATCGAGTAAGTCATAAAAGACAGCAACACAAGCATGGTAAAAAAAAAAGAAACACACACACATACCACAATCACATCACAATATTTTCTTGGGCTTGGTCAGAATAGCTTCCTAGGACTCGATACCTGGAATTCTGATGAGAAATCGATTTTCAAAAATCGGGTCGAACCCAATAACTTCCCAATTGTTAAAAATCATTGATTCTCATAACGGGAAGTTAAGAATTTTTTACTCCGGAATCAATCTGCAGAAAAAAGAACTCTACATTTAGTTCGTATATATGTAGAATGTTTTATTTCTATACTTCGGTACTTGGAGTGATAGGAGTTAAGTTTCACTCTGAATTTACTCCCAATTTTTTACCCTAATAAAATTAGAACAATCAATCAAATAATGACAGGAAACTGAATAGGGGTAGGGGGGGGGCAAAATGGGCCCTCAACAACCCCCACGGAAATAGTATATATTCTAGTATATATTCTGGAATATATTCTGAAATATATTCCAGAATATATCCGAGAATATATTCCGAATATACCCCGTTTTGCCCGAGGAATATATTCCGGAATATATGGGCATGCACTCACTTGTATTCCGTTTTACTCAAAATTTTTCTCTGGTCTATAGTCTGGTCTGTCGTCAGATCTATAGTCTGATCCATCGTATTTTGAAATATATTCCTTGGGCAAAACGGGGTATATTCGGAATATATTCTCGGATATATTCTGGAATATATTTCAGAATATATTCCAGAATATATACTAGAATATATACTTTTTCCGTGGGGGTGTAACAACTGATTTCATGTGAACTGATAAAATAACGAGAAAATAATCCACATTTCACTAATGACAATTAGTACATACTTTCGTAAAAAAAAAATTAAAAAACAAAAAAATATGTATCATGAAATGTTTCCTATAATTGAACACGAATAAAAAAATGAAACTTAATTTAAGAGAAAAAATCTTGAACCAAAGCTATACTTTTGAAGAGGTTGAGCAGAAAAATTCTTAAATTCGAAATGATATTCTTGGCTTGGAAATTTTTTCTCTTGAATCAAGTTAATTTTTTTATAAGTGAATAAACTTGATTAACTATAGTAGAACAATGTAATTTTAACGGGTATATTTCTACCGATAAAAACTACCTCGCCGAAGGATAATATGTAAAAAACAGAAGAATAATGAACCTCATAAAACAATAATGACATGATAGAGTAATTAAGATAAAAAAATACGTGACAATATTAACGTTTCACTAGCTATTGTACGATAAAAACTAAAAAAGCATATTATGTTTTACCCCCTTTGTAATTACATATTAAGAAATAACATGAGGTTGATGGTGTGAATAAATTATGAGTCCAATTATACGGTGGACGATATCGCATGAATACCAGAGGTAGTCATCCGTGAAAATACTGACACGTTTGGTATTGCTGTTGAATCTCGTGGTGTTGTGTCAAAATTAAAACCGTCAGCCGTTTTATTCCCAAACTACTTTTATTCTCCCACGTACTCACATATACCTAATAATTATTGTCCAAATACAAGTGCAATGCAACCATTTTTTTATTCTGAAGGACGTTATTTTTTAGTTCAGGGAAAAAGTCCTGACTGTGTGGTCTGCTTTTATGATAGAAATGTTCAACTGCAGTTTTTTATTTGTAAAATTTTTTTAATTTATTAGTATGAATTAAATTCGTTGAAACTGAATTTTTTAAGGTTTCTCCAGTAAATGGAGGTAATTTTATATTTTATTTATTTATTTATTCATTTTATATGCTTGTACATGCGGTTGACCGTGTCTCTTTGAGCTGTTTGATATTGGACAAGTAATTCGAGCTGATTCAGCTCGTGTTGTGAATACTAAATCAGCACACAAGCACATAGACGCCAAGGCACACACATAAAGTGAAAATGTAGAGAAATTTTCGTATTTATTTTGGAAAGTGAGTGCATGTGCATGAACGCGTTGCATTGCATATACATATAATAGCATTGTTATGTGTTTTATAGAGGCGAATCTAATTTAGTAACAAACCTGCAGGAATTACTGGGTAAAAACAGGGCTCTTTGGATTCCCCTATATTGTTACTAGCCCAGCATCCAATAGTTCCGTAATCCATGTCAGTAACAGGAGTGTAGTTAAGTCGGCTGATAGTGCTGTCGGTGGTAAATTTAACCGGTGAAATATCTCGTATCTCACTGCTGCTATTGAAAGTCCAACGAAAGGTGACTAAAGTTGGGTTAGCGTCGACCTCACACACCAGACTGATCATCTCATGCTTTAAAGCCCCATGTAGTTGTTCAGGCACGTTGAATGAGAATGGGGTTGACTTTCCAAAGGACTTTGAGGACACTACGTCAAAGTTTACTACACGCTTGCAAGTTGGCGCAACTAGTTGACAAATTAATAGGGTTTTTGTTATAACTCACGTGTTTCCATTCTCCGTTTTACTATTATACAAGTACAAATAATATTTTTGATAAATTTTTATAGTAATATTGCACTCACACATCACGTCAAGTTGGATTACGTTTGAAGTCGAATCACCTTCATCGTTTACTGATGAACAAACATAATCACCCGCTGAATTACGCGTGATACTTTGAAGCACCAAAGAATGATCCGTCAACAAAATTCCGCTTGTTATGTTGTGCTGTAATTTTTTATCCTGAAAAATAATATTATTTATGTACATATGTACCTTGAAAATGTATTATATGCATAGATCATGATCATAAATATAGGGATGATTGATCAATTTCGGCAGCAGATTCCTCTGAAAGCTTTTTCACCGCGGTGCTATAGATTAACAAATAATCGCATTCATGTCCATGATATTCTTTTTTTTTCAGAGGCACAAAAAATTTTTTTTTTTGTATCATTTAGCTCAAAGGGATTTTAGGGATATTTTTGAACTCAAAATAAGCATTGTTTTCAATAATTTCTGCTGCGTTTATACGAGAATTCTTTTTAATCAATAATAAATGATGGAAATATTTTTTTTATGGAATTGTCAGATGTGCATTTTTTTTTTTTTTTTTACTAATGAATGAATAAACAGACAGTGGAATATTTTGTTGGTCATTGATAATTCTCTTTTATTTTGATGGATTATTTTGTAACACAAAAGTTTATATCTTTTACAAGAGTACCACTTTTATGAATATTAATGATGAGAACGCAAAATGTATTCTAACAATTATACACTCGATCGTCAAAATATTATTGTTGAAATTTTAATTGTTTTAATTCGCTTTCAACAAATCTAATAACTTTGAAATAGTCGACAAATGACGTACAATTAAAAAAAAAGTTGATGGTAGAAAAAAATTAATGTTCAGTTTATTTTAACAAATTAAAAACAACGAAATCTCAATTAAAATGAAATAAAAATGGGGAAAAAATAAATGTAAACATTTACGCTTGTTTTTTAATATTCGTTGTTCGATATTGATTTTTCATTTAATTTACAAAAAGCGTTTTGAATTTCATCAATCGAACAAAAAATAATTCTACTTTGCTTTCGACATTGTAAAACAAAATTCTTTCCTCGATTTTTGGTAATTTTCAAGAATTCAAAATCATTATATGCTATTATGGAAAACGGTTTTTAAATCAAAGAGAAATCTCACTTTGAATTCACTTTAGCTTTTAGAGTTAATATTAAACATCACTTTATATTATACATATGGAGTTAACGTACAGTTTACACCAGAATAGAAGTTTGGACATGAATATTGATATTAAAAGTAAAATCTACTCTACATTAACTCTTTCTACGTTATAATAACTTTTCTTAAAAATAAAATGCATAAAGAACAAGTGCGTGCAATTCAGTTGTACGTAGAGGCATTATATTTTTACAAAATATAAATCATGTGTTGTTTCATTCAAAATGGTAACATTTTTATAATGAAAGTACGAAGAGTAAATTACCCGCAAAAATATTTCCTAATATTGATAGTTCATAAATGGAAATAAAAAAATAATTGATAATAATTTTTCAATTTTTTATTTCTTCCATAAAGATGTACGTCAATTAATATTTCTTATTAACTAAAAAATGGTTGAATAGTTGAATAAACTAAAAGCTATTGTTAGATAAGCTTCTTAAGAGAGTGAAAAGAATTATTTTTATCTTATTACTTAACACCTTAAATTTAACTCTATTATAAGAAGATAATTACGAGATCATGAGCCCTTTATCTGAAATTTTCAACACCAACTTTGGTCATAAATTCTATATAAGCATATATGACCATATATAAGCATATCAAGTTATATCAGGACATACCTAAATGAAATTCACTTTCATTTTAATTAATATTGTACATAACGAACCGAAAGATGTCAACAAACCTTTGTTTTTTCATTTGAAGTATATATTCCCATGAAAAAAAAAAATTTTTATTAATCAGGGCGAATATTGTTTTTATTTTAGAGATTGACGATTCTGATAAAAATAAAAATGATTACAATTATCAAGTTTTGAAATTTACAATTACTTGTCAGTTTGTATAAACAACTATACAACATGAAACTTTTATTATTCTATTATATTATTAAATTTAAACAAAGCAGTACTTAACGTCATTACCTTTAATTTAAATAATACTATAAAATAAAAAGTACTCTTTAAATGGAATAAACTCCTGAAGAAGAGAATTTATAACTAAATAATATAGTTCCCATTCATTTTATTTACTTAACCGTTGTTTTGTGTAAATTTCCGAATTCGCAACATACTTAGAGAGTAAATGTTAAGAAATGAATGTTTTGCTACCCCGTTTGTAAATACTTTATTTTTTCTCAACCTTCTCAACCGAAGAAAATTGAATATTCAGCCAAAAGGCTAAGTACGCAGAAGGTTTAATCAAAATAACTTTAGAAAAATGACAGCTTTTATAAGGGACTAAGTTGACGATATAAACAGATTCATCGTTAAAGTAATGGCCTGCGGCGACTTAATGTCTTTTCTTGGGAGAAAAGTTGGCCTGAAAGTCTCCTGAGGGTTTGTGACTGTATATGAGTTGAACAACATCAATATACAATGTACATATACAATCTACTTAAGGGGCCATGAAAGAAGATTTGATAACATTTTTATGAGATAATTTTTGGTGCATTGTTTTGAGCTAAATTTTGGACAGATTTTAATAAAATTTAAACCACATATAAAAAATAGAATAATAAAAGCAGGAAACTAATTTATTTATGAAATTTTTACAAAAAAAAAAAATGAATTCAAAAGAAAAATCGCAACTTTATACAGCCTACAGAAATCTACGTCGAAATAATGAATTTTTGTTTATTTTATGGAAACAAAGATTATAAAAAAGAGTTCCCTGCATTCTTTGTCACTACTTAGTGATAAAAATTTATAAAACCGATTATTTATAATCACAATTATTAATAATAATGCACCGAATGTACGATAATTACATGTATAATGCACCGAATGTAATTATCGTACAACAATACTTTGCTCAGACAATTCTTTTTTTATTATAAAATTACGCGAGACAACATGTAAACGAATCCACTATGTATGTTAAAGAAGTTAAATTTCTTAAAATTGTAGGCTGTCGCTAGTTAAACACATGTTAATTTTTATGTACCTACTATTGACACCCGCTATTTTTAAATCATAATTAAAATTTATCAGCTTAAAACAATAAATCTAAGATTATTTAGAGTTTAAATAACCTCAAATAATTTTGGATGATAGGCTT